AATGTAAAAAAAAAAGAAAAAAAAAAACGGTGTGGGGTTCTCCCCCATCCATACCAAGCCCTTTTGGGTTTGGTATGGATTTTGAGGGGAACTGCCAAAATTAAAAAAAAATGAAGATAAAAAAAATGCTGTGGGGGTTCCCCCCCCCCCCCCATTCCTTACCACACACTTATCCAAGCATGAAGCCTGGAAGGTCAGGAAGGGGGGGGGATGAGCGAATGTCCCCACCAGGGCATGCTGGGTCAATGATGTCACAGAGGGCGGGGTCACCTGGCGACATCACCTGGTGGCCCCACTCCTTAGTTATTTAAAAACTGTCAGGCAGTCTTTTTTTGAGTCTGCAGTGGCGGTGGGCATCGTGCTAGACGGTGGATCTGCACTGGGGACATTTTTTTAAATCTTTGTTTTATTTTTGTTTTTTTAACCAATTCAATACCGGGCAATTTTACACCTTCCTGCCCAGGCCATTTTTCAGGTTTCAGCACTCTCACACTTTGAATGACAATTGCGCGGTCATACAACATTGTACCCAAACTAACATTTTATCATTTTCTTCACACAACTAGAGCTTTCTTTTGGTGGTATTTATTCACCTTCGGGGTTTTTATTTTTTGCTAAATTAACAAAAAAAGACCAAAAATGTTGAAAAAAAACCCACGTTTTTCTTTGTTTCTGTTATAAAAGTTTACAAATAAATAATTGTTCTTCATAAATTTAGGCCGAGATGTATTCTGCTACATGTCTTTGGTGAAAATAACCCAAATTAGGATGTATTATTTAGTTTGTAGGAAAGTTATAGAGTTCACAAACTATGGTATAGATCTGAAAATTGATCAATCCTGAAGTACTGACAGCCAATCTAATTTCTTGAGGTCCAAGAATGTCAGAATAGTACAGATATCCCCAAATGACCCCTTTTTGCAGAGTAGACAGTCCGACGTACTTCATAAGATGCATGGCGAGTTTTTTGAAGTTGTATTTTTTTTGTCATAATTTTTCGGAAAATAAAAAAATGAAAAAAATTATTTTCACTATTTTTTTTTACATACTGTCACCAGTGCAGTACAGCGTCATCATATAACTGGCATGGCGGTGAACAGGGACACGGACTGGTGACAGTATGAAAAAAAATATATATTTTTTTTTTAATTTTTTTTTTTTTTATTATTTTAAATTTTTTATTAAATTTTTCTTTTTTTTTAAGATTTTTTTTCATGTTTTACTATGACCAAAGTAGTACAATGTTACCATAGTAACATTGTACTACTTTGGGGAAGTGATCAGTATTTTTTTTTTTTTTTTACACAATTTGCTTATAGCAAAGAATTACTTTGCTATAAGCAAATATTTACCTGAATGACATCGATTCATTCAGGTTTTTTTTTTTTTGTGCTTAGCTGTGATTTGGCCACAGCTAATCACATGACATGTGCATGTGACCTGCTGTGACCATTCAGAGCTAGGCACTAGTATACAATGGATGGCATGAATGAAGCCATCCATTGTATACAACTGTCATGTGACCTGCTGTGATTGGTCACAGCAGGTCACATGGTACCGGCAACGGGGGCCTGTACTCAGATCTGTCATCAGCTGTGTCCGAGGTACACGGCCGGTAACAGATCTCCCCGCTGCGCTGCTGATTTTCCTATTGGAGAGTGACTACGTTTGTTCTCCATGGTCCCACTTTAAGTAAGAGTGAGTGTTTAAAATTGTTTAAAGGAAGATTTTGGATTCTATGTGAGTAAAGGGAAACATGTCTGTTCCCCATGAGGTCTAAACAGTAGAAAACAGTAGAGAGGAGGGAGTAGCTGTACTCAAAAAGGCCTCCCCCAGATATAAGATCAGAAAGCAATGTAAAGAGAGGTGCTGAATATTTGGAGCTGCTGTCACAGAAAAGGGCAACAACCAGCACAAATGCACATTTATTCAGCAGAATCTTTTCTACAATATATAATATACACCTATGTTTATAACCATTTTCCCCCAACCCTATAGCATAAATACTGCTACAGGGTGGAGGGCTGCGCAAGGTCACGTATATATATACGTGATTTGCATTTCCGGGTAGGGGACACACGCTACGGCTACAGATGTCAAACACCGGGTCCCGGACGGAGATTCTCTGCCGGCAGCTGGAGATTGCCAAATAACACTGACAGGGGAGAGACCTGTGTGTAAACAACACAGGTCTCTCTCCTGCTAGCAATAACATGTTGCTGTGTATTTCTCTGCACAGCAGTAGCATGTTTCCCAAGTAGAACACACACAGCACATACAGTAAAACACACACAGGCCACAGTTAACCCTTTAATTGCCCCAGATGTTAACCCCTTCCTGCCCAGTGTCATTAGTACAGTGGCAGTGCTTTTTATTCGCACTGATCACTGTATTAGTGTCATTGGGAAGTCAGTGGCAGTTATTCAGTTCCCCCCCAGTGTTAGAATGCCCGCCGCAGTCCCGATATAAGTTGCTGATCACCGTCATTACAAATATGTGTAGCTGAGTGACCTAACTTTATGAAGAAATTTTACTTTTTTACTGGATATGTTTTATAGCAAAAAGTAAAAAAATATTGGATTTCACGCATAGTAAGCAATGATGTCAGAAGTGACATCATTGCTTACTACTCTTCATGTGATCAATGATTGGCCAATCAGTGATCACATGATCGGGACCTCATACAGAGGTCTCGTACAATGATCGGTGTTCCACTGTGTCCGGATTGCGGTGCTGCGCGCTCCTGGGGAGCGCGCACAAGCCGGGTGCAGGGAGGCCATTTATAAATGGCCACCCACCCCTGCACTGCTCCCGTCCACCCGTTTATATACATGGGCCGGACGGAAAGTGGTTAAAGTAACACAGCGCCGTATCGCAAAAAATGCCTGGTCTGGAAGGGGGGTAAATCCTCTGGAGGGCAAGTGGTTAAAGAGTATTTACCCTCTGCCATTTTTTTTACCAGGTGGATAGTATATTTAATATGTATTGTATGCCACCTACCATTACACCATTTACTTACTGGTGCTTCATGTTACAGACCTGACATTGTGTAACATAAACATCTATGCCTTGTGCTGCTCATTGGCTGCTGCTGGTGCTATCAGGGGTGAAGTATTGCCAGAGTGCATGTTGTGTAACCAAGTAACCCTGTTTACTTTACTTGATAATTTTTAGTCATTCTGGTTAGGAATAATAATTTTTCTTAAAGCGGTATTAAACTACATTTTTTTTTTTCTTTAATTAAACAGGCCCCAGGTGGTTTATGGCATAATGTGTTCGTATGCACCACATTTTAGCACATTATGAGAGACTTACCTGTCAAACAAAACTCTCCAGTGGTGGTCTATCACTGTTCCGGTGCTTTCATCTTCTCTTGGTCTTACTTCTTGGACACACACAGCCTGGATCGGGAGTGAGCCTGCACATCTGCCCTCATAGCAACTGGCTTGCTATGGTGGCAGACATAGAAAAGGAGTAGAAGACAGCACTATTTGGGGATCCTGGAAGAGGAGGTTCAGGACGCTCTGTATCATGTACCTGGTGTTAGAGGCCAATGAAGAGAGGGCTTCCCTTGCGGCTAAGTTCCAGACTTCCCTGGATATGGGACAGAAGGAGTCAGGCCCAAAGTAGCACAGGTCGCCTGTAGGAGTGCTTGTCAGAGGTATACCCAGGAGCACAGCTGATGCACTGCAATGGTGTCTGCAGACAGGTGGTGCCCGTGAGAGGTATGCAGGCTTTCAGGGTAGCAGAGGACCACACAGTAGTTCAAAGCCAAGGTGAGAGCAGACGTAGTCAATAGGATAGCCGGGGTCATACACAAGAGAGCAAGTGAGAATATCTATTAGCCAAGCCGTGGTCAGATCAGGAGAGCAGGTGCAAATATCTATTAGCCAAGCCGAGTCAGATCAGTAGAGCAGGTGTGAATATCTGTTAGCCAAGCCAGGGTCAGATCAGGAGTCAGACAGAGAAGACAGGTTCAGGAACAAGCCAAGTCGGTAACAGCAGATCACAGTAGCAAGGGAACACAGACAAAGGTATTACTGGGGAGCCAGATTTGAGGGAGTGATGGGCTTCCTTATAAAGGCCATCTGGTGCCAAACTGGGCTAATGAGTTTGTAACTATGCGCCAATGCACATGCGTGTTCTGGCTCGTGTCTGTGTGCCAATGCGCATAGATTTTCGCCAGCGTGCATTTTTGCGGCCATGCAAGGTACTGGCAGGAATGCCAGGTCTCTGAGTACCTCTGCTGTGGACAAAGCCCTGACACTCTGTGCAATGGAATTGCACAGAGCAGATAAGTATAACATGTTTGTTATTTTAAGAAAAAAAACAACCTTTAAACCCCTTTAAGCATCATTACTCTAATATACCAAATCATTGTTCAGCCTCTACATACCCCTAACTTAATATTGTATGCTGTTACCACAACCAGTGAATGCTTTAAAATAATTGAGCATTTGTATGGATTCAATAATAAAAAAAAGTATGTAAACTAAATAGCTTAATATAGCAGCATTGACATGAGGTAATGTTCCTTATGATTCTCAAAGTTCATGCAGATTCAGCTTTGAATTTAAGATTGATGTAAACAAATGTAGGAGTATTATGAACAGATTGCAGATGATAATCAAATGTTGCCTTGATATTAGTAGGAATCTGAAAACCACATATGCCCAGTTAACTTTGTTTCTATCACATTTCAACAAAATGTTTCATATTCCTTCTTGGTGATTACAAAAGGAAAAATGGCACATACTGGGATATTATAAAAGATGCAGATATTATGAGGTAAAAGCAATTACATTAAAGCCTAATTCTAGCAAAAATCTACCTAAACTGTTTTCTTAACCCTCAAATACCCATATAAACATACCAAATCTGTTGTAATGTGTTTTCCAGGGTGCCTCTTCTGGTAGCAGCGACTGATGGGATGAAGCTGCTGTGCATTCTCTTCGTCAGTCTGGCCATGATGTCTTGTGTCCTCCTCTTATGTGATGTCACAGCCAGGGGCGGACTGACCATTTGGAAACTCGGGCACTGCCCGAGGGCCCGGGGTCAGTAGGGGGCCCCATTAGATGCCCCGGTACCTTTTTCATAGGCTTTTTTTGAGTTTGGGCAAGGACACAGGGGCCCCATGATCCCCTATTGCCCGGGGGCCCCATGAGTTGTCAGTGCGCCCCTGGTCACAGCTGAATGCTGCAGAACCCTGTGAGGACCCAGTACCTGGGTGCTTCTGATAACAACTAGGCAGCACCCACATCACTAGGCAAGTGATGTGGGCATTACTGACCAGACCTGCCCATAGCACAGAGCAGAAGTAAGAAAACCTGGGACCCATCATTTCAAGTGACTAGAGTTTTTTTTTAATCCAAACAACTTTTATTGTCAAGATAATAGAGAAACTGGAACAGTACTTACAGAATCCACAATGACATTACAGCAGGATTACACATACATAGAACAATGTGGATGTCCGTGATGGACAGAATAACAGAACTAGAAATCAAACAAAACAGAGACCACAAGGATCCAAAACTTTCTTGACAATACCTTGCTTTTTACTTTTTACTTTGTATTCCTTCCCATCCAGATATAAACAGAAATGGGGGAAAGGAACAAAGCCCAAGACATGCCTTCAAACAATTGAAAAAACCCACATCAACAACAACCTCTGGTTCACCCGAGACACCTCATCAAAAAGAATAGGAGATGCACATGAACTGACTAGAGTTTTAGTTATTTTTTTGTGTATGGATGGAGTGGGAAGCTTTGTCTATCCCTGGAAATGAGCTTTAACTCACAACCTATTTATTAATTTGACAATTTAAAGATCAATGACATTTCTGTTTTTTTGTGAGATTTTGGTGAACAGGGCCTCCAATGGTATGATCATGGGCGGACTGACAACTCATGGGGCTCCCGGGCAATAGGGGATCACGGGGCCCCTGTGTCCTTGCCCAAACTCAAAAAAGCCTATGAAAAAGGTACCAGGGGCATCTATTGGGGTCCCCTACTGACCCCGGGCCCTCGGGCAGTGCCCGAGTTTCCAAATGGTCAGTCCGCCCCTGGGTATGATCCTTTCATTAGCATTTCCAGGTCTGCATAATACCCTCAGCTATAACAACAGGGTCCTATGAATTTAAATTTATTTTATATTATTCAACATTCAACAGAGATATATAAAGTAGACGGGTTACTCAGTCCACTAGTTTCAACCAGTATCTAAGATAAAACATTTGTGTGGACACACAAGTAAAGAAATGATCAACTTGCAAAATTATGGTGAATTTATCTATGCAGATTACTCCAATCTGCTTAGAAATAATGAAGTCAAATTTAGAAAGTACTGAAGCCACTGAAACATCAAAACAACAAATATCTTGGCTTCCTTAGAAGAAGTCAGCAGTGACAGCCTACATATTCACTTAAGTGTAGGATGTTTTGCAGATGTCTGCAAAGCCTAGATTCACACTTGGCAAAATTTCTGCAAAAGTGTGCTCTAATTTTCCCTCGTCCCTTCTAACACTGAAATATAAGCCAAAAAAATACAACTCTAAAGTGTAATTCATTTTTTATTCTTTTTTTTTTTTTTTTACTATTTTCATACCATTTTCACACCTTTTTTTTGCTTGAATGTTTATTTAAAGAGTAACTTCACTCCCTTCTGGGTTATCAAAGTGCGATGCAAGGATTTAAAATTTTGCTGCAGATTTCTACCTGTTTTTGCTCTGCAGAAAAAGCGGCTCGCCTGCCCATGTCCTTTGCAGACTGGACCTAAATGGGAATGTCTGGTTCCGTCTAATTACCTGGTGAACTGTCAGTGTTCTGATGAGGAAAGTTACAGTGTCTGCATCCCTTTAGAAGATTAACCCTCATGAACTCACTGAAAATAACATTTCTGTTGTAGAAGGTGCCAAAAAATTTAACGATTTTAGTGCAGACTTCTGGTAAAATGAGTGAGCCAATCACACAAGCAGAACAAGTGAAATCACACAAGCAGAACAAGTGAATGTACCGGTGTGATAATAGTGTCTATACAAAAACTACACAAAACCCCAGGTGCTAAAACTATATAGTTTCTCCCCCGAAAGCCTGAAATATGTGAAATATATGTGATTATCTTCCTAATCAATAATCTTCCTCCAAATTGAAATAAGAAGAAATTTCACATGTGTTTCAGACATTAGGACTACAAAAGATGAACGAACGAAACCAGCGCTCCAGTCTTCATACAACCAAGGCGATGCCAAAATGCCAACCGAAGAGGTGCTGCCCTTTTAAGATCGGAGAATCTGACCACTAGCCTGAGGAAGGGGGTTTAGCTCCCGAAACGCGTTAGCCTATCTGCATAATTAGACACAGATATATTGTGACTGTCCTTGTGGACCACTTTTACTGCATTTTATCATGTTGGTTTGTGAGTATATATATCCTCTGTTCATTTAATAAATACGTGTTATACCACGGTAATGCACGATGAGAGTGCGCCCTTGTTTGTTCTTTTCCACTTCAGACATTAGGACGCTGAAAGATTTGGACTACACAAATCACACAAGCAGGAAATATTGTTTTCGGAGGTGTCCTGTACACTAAAGATATACAGAGAGCCTTTAAGTTGACATATTGCATTGAATTTTACAGAAAATTACAGTTCTGCAGATTGAAATGAAAAGGTAATTTGTATGAACAATAAATTACAATGCGGCTTATTTGTTTGTGCTATATTAATGTTTATTGAATATATTTTTTTCAGGAATGTAGAATTACCCTTTTAGAATGTTGTCAATTAACAAGACAAATATAAAAAGATTCAAATACATGAGAAAAAGACAAATCAAGCCTTCCGACATGTGGACAAAGGCACATAAAACATCATCTATAATAACCCATTGCAGTTCACACCATTTAGGTCATATGCACAAGACTAGCTAGAAAATAAGCCCAAAACTGAACCCTTTGGTAGCCAAGTTTGTTAATATACAGAAAACTGGGAGAAATATCTAGAGGAAGATACAAAGGACACAGCAGAAAAAAAATAGATATAAGGATGCGTAGGTTAAGAGTATAGTGAGAAAAAGAGGGAGAGAGGCATTCAATTCACATGGCCACTATGATGGTACTACATATTAGGGATCCGGTATAATACGACAATTATATTTATCCAACATATTCTGTAATCTAGCCATACATTGTTCATCATTCTCACTTCTTTGAACTGATCTAATAAGTCATGCATAGAAGTGTGTGTGTCGGGCTGCTTGTTCCATCTGGAGGTGATCAGGCAGCATGTTGGCATAAGGGTAACTGAGATCAATTTCTTCAAATTCTTTTCTAGACCTCAGACTGGGAGGTTTGGAGGTGAGTTAGAGGGTCCTTGGATATTGAGGATTCAGCTAATTTAGAAAGCAAGGCATTGACCTCAACCCAAAAAGACGTGATGCCAGGGTAGCATCACAGGATATTGTATAATGTGCCTACTGCTGAGTGGCATCTCCAGCATAGCCTGTTAACTGAGGGATAGATAGAATGCAATAATTGTGGTGTATAATGTCAGCACATTGAGATTCTATATACATTCTCTTTGTCATACTTATTTCTTCACCTTTTATACACCTATTGTCTGTAACACCTCAGCTAACGAGGTAGTACACCCAAACCAACCAAAATAACACCCACAAATGTAACAAAATGCAGCAATTAAAAGCATTTTAAATTCCTTAAAAAGGATCTTAACCACTGCACCCTCAAAATTTGACAAAAAGTGTCACTCATCCCAAGATACAGTATGTTAGTCTCCAACTTAATTTAGCTCCGTGCTAGCAATTGCTAATGTTAGCTTTCCAGCAGGTCAAAATGCTTCTTTCATAAAATGCAAGAGAAGTGCTCAATTCCTGTATCCCAAACAGACTTCGGGGCTCTGAAGCCCAACTTCAGTTTCTGCCAGTTTGCTTCCAATAGGATATTAGTAATAGATAGTCCGCATCATGGAAAGTTCCAATGGAAAAAAAAAGTCATAAACTTTATTGATACATTGATACTCTAAAAGACATGTTGGTAGGTCAATTGGCAATAGTATGTGAATGTATGAATATGAGTTACGGACCTTAGAATGTAAGCTCCTTTTGCAAACTGTGTGCAGAAAATTCCACAGTTTTAAAGGGTTAGCAAATTCCTTGCTAGAGGTGTAGGCAAATGATGTACCTACTGAAGCCTGACTGAAATACTCCTAGGACATTGCTAGGACAATGCTATGAGAGGTCTAATTGTTACTGCTCACCTCCACCATCAAAGAAGTAAGCTCTTTCTCTGTCTCAAACCCCTTTATATGTTCTCTCTCCCCTCTTATGCAGAATCTCTGAGCTCAGCATTTGAGGAGCTCACTGATGTGATGGTGGAAGCGAGCAGTAATGGCTATGTCTCTATTTGCAATGTCCTAGTAATTCCAGTTTACTGCATGCTGGTTGGTGAACAGGAGCGGTGTGTGAAGAAAGAGGGCTTCATGATTACTACCCAGTAAGTGAGATATAACTGCTAATGTGATTGGTCACAGCTATCACAGGGTGCAAAGCTACTCTCATTGGCTCTGTACCTTTTCCCTGAGATCTGCTGTGTCCAATCACAGTATGATCACAGGAGTGCAGTTCCCAGAGGATGTGCCATCTACAGTCAGGTCCATAAATATTGGGACATCGACACAATTCTAAATGAAACCCAGCGTCTGGTAATGTCTATGCGTTTCAGACTTCAGGCTGAATTGACTGCAAAGGATTTGCAACCAAGTATTAAAAAGTGAATGTTTGATTTATGATTATTATTCTGTCCCATTACTTTTGGTCCCTTAACAAGTGGGAGTCACATATGCAAACTGTTGTAATTCCTACACCGTTCACCTGATTTGGATGTAAATAACCTCAAATTAAAGCTGACAGTCTGCAGTTAAAGCACGTCTTGTTTGTTTCATTTCAAATCCATTGTGGTGGTGTATAGAGCCAAAAATGTTAGAATTGTGTCCATGTCCCAATATTTATGGACCTGACTGTATGTACAGTGGCCAGTTCACAAGCAGTTACCGTATTTGCCGGCGTATGAGACGACTGGGCGTATAAGACGACCCCCTACTTTTCCTGTTAAAATATAGGGTTTGAGCTATACTCGCCGTATAAGACTACCCCTCTTCCAACACACACCAAATATAAATGAAAAAACATCAGATTTGATTTCAATATGGTATGCTATTTCAGTATGGTATTCCAATGATGGGGTGCTATTCCTCCCACTGACACCAATGATGGGGCACGATTCCTCGCTCTGACACCAATGATGGGGCA